TAGGAGTGAGTGCGCGAGGTGGTTATAAAAGGCTCTCTACCCCCCAAGAACATGGTATGCAAACTTTGCGCTATCTGGTTTTATCTTGCCTTTGAAGGATTCTAACTTGAGCTTCGGAGCCTTTACACCGGGTTCTCCCCGGAGCTTCCTCATCTTCTTCGTTTCAGGTTCCCTGCTACTCAGTTCAGAGGCAAGGTCGTTGACAGCTAAGATCAGCCGGATTGCGCACCATCAGGAAGAAAGGTTGGAACCAAAAGAGAGAGGAAGAAAAAAACTATGAAGGGGAGATCAAGGGGTAATTACTAGTAAACTTTTTGTTTTGGGAAATTGTTTAAAACTCTCATGAGTTTTCAGCGTTTCTCTTAAACTCACCACTAGCGGTGTCAATCGACCAGTTTCGGTTTGGATCCAATCCAATCCAAACCTTATCAAATTGGATTTGGAGGGTCCATTCTAATTATTGGATTGGGTCAATCCAAAATAAATTGGTCCATATTCTTATTAGTTTCAATTAGATTTAAACCAAATTTCCAATAATCTGATCATGAGGCCAAACCCTTGTCCAATTTGAAATTAGTCAAAAATGAAAACAACATAAAATCACTTTTATGAAAAGTATTTTTACGAAAGCACTTTTATAAAAATACTTTTACAAAAACATTTTTACAAAAGTACTTTTATGAAAGCATTTTTACATAAGTAGTTTTATAAAAGCACTTTTACAAAAGTACTTTTATAAAAACATTTCTACAAAAGTACTTTTACAAAAACACTTGTACAAAAGTACTTTTATAAGTCTATGGAAGTACTTTTCGAAAGTACTTTTGTAAAAACACTTCTACAAAAGTACTTTTGTAAAAACACTTCTACACTTTTATAAAAGTACTTTTACGAAAGCACTTTTACTAAAGTACTTTTACAAAAGCACTTCTACAAAAGTATTACAAAACTACTTTTACAAAAGTACTTTTTCGAAGTACTTTTCGAAAGTACTTTTATAAAAACACTTTTATGAAAGTGTTTTTATAAAAGTGCTTTTTGTAAAAGTACTTTTTGTTCAGTGAAGTGCTTTTGTAAAAGCACTTTTATAAAAATATTTTTATCAAAGTACTTTTACAAAAGTGCTTTTTCAATGCTAAAATTGATTTTTTATAATTTTTGATATTTCATTCAGTTTGGATTGGATTAGATTTGGTTTGTATTGGATTTGGACTGGATTGGGTCCAATCCATTTATAATTGGACTCCCATTGGATTGGATTGGGTTGGACCAAATCGGTCCAATTGACACCTCACCACAACTTTTTCAAAATGTCTAAAACTCACCATGTCACTAACTTGACGTTAAACAGACTAACGAGTGCTAATATATTACCATTTTAACCTTCATAGAAAAATATAAAATATATACAAAATAAATTAACGGGTGTTAATATATTACCATTTTAATATTTAGACATGAAAAAATGAAAAAAGTTCAAAAAAATATTTTCAAATATAAAATACATAATAACATAGAAATCACAAAAAAAAATAAAAAATTAAAGAAATTGCAAACAAAATAAAAAATTATTTTCAAATTATAGAAACTATAGAAATTGAAAAACAAAATCAGAAAATAAAAATTGTAGAAAAAACACCAAAAAATATAGAAAATCATAGAAATTGTAAATAAATAACAAAAATACATGAAAATTTATAGATTGTAGAAAATAGAAAATGTAAAAAAACGTAAATTATAAAAACATTGGAAATTATAACAAAACACTAAAGATGCAAAAAAAAATAACAAGAAAATTGAAAACTCAAAAGACCATTTTTCCTCTAACTCACCATTCAAGTGTAATTTGGTCATGAAAATTATTATTTATGCTGACATGGGCACCTCTGTTAAGAAGCATTAATGGTGCACTAAGGAAAGGTGAGTTTTGGAAAATAAAAACTTATTGACATGGTGAGTTTTAGACATTTTGAAAAGTTGTGGTGAATTTAAGAGAAATGTGGAAAACTCATGGTGAGCTTTAGATAATTTTCCTTTTATTTTTTATAGGGAAAATTCCCGATTAGTACCTTGTACTTTGGCTCGAGTGACAATTTAGTACTCGAACTTTAAAATGCAACAATCCAGTACTTGAACTTTCAAAATGTGACAATCCAATACCTGCTGTTAACTAGTCCATTAATCAACCGTTAAGTGACATTTGAAAAGTCAAAGTTGCCCTTCGAATGCCATCTAATTCTCTTTATCAACCATCCAAACATTGACAAAAAATTAATTCCAAATCTTAGCCTTTTCTATTAAAAAAAGTTGGTGATTGTTTAGAAAAATCTAGAATTTGAGACTGTTCATTTTATTGTCAATGTTTGGATGGTTGATAAAGAAAATTAAATGACATTCTTAGGGCATTTTTGACTTTTCAAATGTCACTTAACGGCTGATTAACGGATTAATTAAGAGCAGATATTGGATTGTTATATTTTGAAAGTTCGGGTACTGAATTATTAGTTTGTCACATTTTGAAGGTTAGAATTGTCGCTCGAGCCAAATTACACGGTAATAATGGAGAATTTTCCCTTTCCCTTTTTAATAACACTGTTGATTAGCGAGGAATGCGTTGTCATACTAAGAGTCATGATTCTCCTATCGTGTCAACCACTCATTGGCAAAAAATCGAGACAACCCAATGAAGGGAAAAAGATTTGCTGCGACCGTGGTCGCATGCGACCCCAATGAGATGTAAACACGCCGGTGTTTTAAATCAAACACCAGTACGAGGTAACCAATGAAAGCGCGCTCATTGAATCATCACTCTTTTGTCAGAGGGGATTGTGCACTTTGACGCTGAGACGCTGAGTCGATCCGGGAGGAGGAGAAAAAACGAGTCGTAGGCGCCGATCAAAAGGTCCAAACGCGGAACTTAAATTCCAATCCCAAATTTCCCAATTTATTTTCTTTTGATCTTTTCTTCTGTTGGTATTTGGTCGGATTCTTCCGGGAGATTGGATTCGAGTGCTTTAAATCCTGGAACTCCTTCGATTTAACTCTGAATCCGAATCTGATGTTCTAGGGTATTGCATCCCAAGAAGTCTGTCTGATTCGTTGCATCTCTGGTGGAACCTTTTCTTTCTTTTTTTATTCTTTTTTTGTTTTGATAGGAAGGAAAGTCTCTGGTGGAACTTTTAGGGTTATAGCAGGGGATCTTGAATTGTGGTGGAGTGGAGTGGATTTTGACGTTAGGGTTTCTGGACATTGATGAATCGAGCTGCCACTGCCAATGCCATTTTTGGCACTTTTGGAGGAACCTTCGGTGATTTTTGAGGTACCGAAGAAGCTTGAGCTCCATGTCTTGGGCAAGCCCTGATGAAATCTTTCTCTCCACTTCTCTTGCCAGCTATCTTGACAGTAAGCTTATCTCTCCCTATCTATCACACACATACACGCTTATTCACTCATAGACTCTCCACTTGTTCTATCTGTACTTTCTTGCTACTCTTTTGCCTCCCTTCTTTTGGGAGGTTGTAAAATGTAGGTTCTGCTAGCTTGTTTGGGGGTTGTTGGAGGTTGGTAGCATAGAATGAGATTTCTTTGCTTTGTCATTATTGGAAAAAAATTCAATCTTTCGACTTCAACCAAGAATCTTTTCATGCCTTCATTTAATTCATTTCAAACAGAAATAAGTCAAACTGTCAAAGTGAGGGGAGTTGTTCATGGAAATCGGTATAGTTCCATACGGGAAGAAGGATAAAACCAAGACCTAGAAACGTGCCTCAAGTAATACGTACCTTTTTTTGTCTATATAGCATCTTAACACCGAAAGTTAACACTTTTTTCATCCCTAATATCTCTTCATATTAAAAGGTTATAGAAGCATTGTAATGATAGGATCAGAATCAGAAATATGTCAGGGAGTCTGATTCCATGGCTTGGAAAAACCACATGGATTCGGGAATACCTAGAGATAAAAAAGTATTGACTCGTAGATAATTGGATATCTTGTGAATTCTAACATTTACATTGTTATAAAAACATCGCAAGAAAAGGTAAAAATTTGTCATTTCTTCATAGGAATGTCATACAGGAAAGATAAACTAATAATAGATGCTCCGTGCTCATTTATGTCAAATAAGCAAGTAAGATAAATATTTCGCAAACATCTCTAAGTCTCTTAAGAATGGATAGAACCATAGGCTCCTGGAAACCCCAAACGTGCCTTGCATGCTAGGATGCTTAGATCATGTGGATACAGGAAATGGGGATTGGGCATATGACTTTCTATATCTTGCTATATCTTGAGATCCAAGACAGCCATGGATATATTTGTCTCATCCAAATATATGTTGTTAGAAGTCTCACTGAAATCCGCAGCTAAGTATCATATCTTGCCAAATTCAGTGAGACTTCTAACTATCTACATTTTTTTTTTGTTGTAGTATGATTTGTTAATATACTTCTTATATTTTTAATAACTATTTATTCTGTAAAGTATTCATTAGATTTGTGTATACAGTATCAGATATGTATCATGTCTAAAATGAATACAGTAAGAATGTAAGGGTAGTCAGGCATGTGGATAGTGGATACTGTAGCTGACACAGACACCTCATCCATTTAAGATAGTCTATGCAAGTACAGAGTGCTGCATTGGAAGCTGTGGATTTCAGTTCCAACAAACAGTCAAAGAAGTTATTGAAAAAAACCTACGTGCACTCCTTCGAACCACTCGTTATCTACTAAAGAATCTTTAAATGTAAAATAAACTTTGGAAGGTTTTTAAATTTCAAAGCTCTTAATTTACTAAACATAATAAGTAAGTTGTCAGTCCAAACTTGGGGAAATAAATTCAGAATTTAAAGTGATGATTTTAATTAATATATGAGATAGCTTGTCCTTAAAATAAGACACCTCAAGGTGCAAGATTTTCTGTGAGCCTTGTATTTAGGTGATGCTCAAGGTATGAGCCTTGAGAATTATGTTTTTAGACATTAGCATTTGTATTCCTAACCCTTTTAGTCTTCCCAGTCATCTATCTCAACATTTGCATTTCTACCACACTCATATTTTGGACATCTTGTTTCTTAACTATCCAACACTCTACTCCATACAACATTTTTGGCCTCATAACTGTCTCATAAAGTTTTCCCTTTAATCTAAATGGTATTTTCTTATCATATAAGGCTATAGATGCACCCTCCATTTTGTCCATTCTGCTCTAATTTTATGGATGATATCATCATTGATAGAAGTGCACCCTCCATTTGTCCAGTCGTAAGTGCACCCTGATTTTCGCTCCCATTACTATTAAAATTGCATTGCGTATTTTCTGTTTTAGTCCTACTTATTTGTCCATAAAATTAATTTTGCATTTAATCCCTCTCTAGTTCATCAATTAATTCTTTGTCATCAGAAAACAACATACAGCTTGGTACCTCCTAAATATGTTTCTCAATTCATCAATGACTAGTGCAAACAAATAAGGGCTCAGTGCTGAGACTTGGTTGTATGACTGGAAGTTTTTCAGGCCTGCTTGTCAGACAGTTTTGTAGGTGTAACTGCACTCTAGGTTCTTAATTCTTTTATTATCTATTGAGTTCCATGGCTAGTGCAAACGAATAAGGGACAAGAGTTTTATTTTTATTTTTTGATAAAATAAAATACAAATGAGGGCCAAATGCTGCCTTGGTTGTATGATTGAAAGTTTTTAACATGTAAGACTCAAAGTTTTTAACATGGGTATACATGCACTCTAGGTTCCATTCTTTTTATTATCTATTCAGTTCTCATTTTTTGTAATCTAAATATTGCACTCCATAATCCATATGATGTGAAAGATGAGGTCAAAGAGAAACTTCTAGCAAAAGACTACATGCAAATGTAAATAGGATGAGTGAATAGATGTTAGTCCAAATGATATATTATAGTCAGGGTGATCTTCCTTTCTCCAGTCATTTATGCTGACAAAATCTAATATTAATAATCTTCTTAATCTATCCTGTTCCTGTCCATTTTCCAAAACACATAAGACATGGGGAAGTTCTTATCAATTAGAAAAAGAAATTATGATTCCCATTCCCAAATTTGATGCTTTCCATAAATTTCACAGAGAAGCTTCTTGTTTTGCTGCGAGATGGTCGAAAACTATTGGGAATACTTCGTTCTTTTGATCAATTTGGTACTTCTCTTTTCCTATTGTTTTCTGGCATTCCATTAATTTTTTATCTTTATTTTTTTAATTCATCAATGAAGACTTTTTTGGTTGAATTCCTTTCCCGCAGCAAATGCTGTTCTTGAAGGTGCATGTGAGCGAGTGATTGTTGGTGATCTTTATTGTGACATCCCCTTGGGTCTCTATGTAATTCGTGGGGAGAATGTTGTCTTAATTGGCGAGCTGGTACCAAATTTCTTATTATTTAGCTCTATGTAACCATTGGGTTGTTATTAGAGTGGTTCTCACATTATTTCATCTTTTTTGGGGGTTTTGTGATTGGACAGGATCTAGAAAGAGAGGAGCTTCCCCCACATATGACTCGTGTTTCAGCTGCAGAGATAAGAAGAGTAAGTGGCAGTTTTTGATGCTCCCCATATTAGGTGTCTAACACTGTTCTATTGGAAAAGTAACCATTGGAATAGCTGAATGCCTATATGAAATACATCTGTCTGGATTTTTTTTTTAACTTCTTGTGTGCCTGCACATGAAGTATCTCCAGTTTGATAATAGGCAAGGCTTATGTAAATGCTGGCTTCCATAATGGAGGTTGTTGGCCTTGGTTTGTAAACCACAAAATAAGCAAGTTTGGGTGAATGACTCTTACGCAACATGCTTGTGCATGCATATGTACACCATTTTCTGAAAGATTATATTTCAGAAAGTGAAAACTGAAACCCCTATACATAATAATATTTTTTGAAAAGTGTTGTGTTCGCGTAATGTAGAAAAAAAAAGGTCAAAAAAGGATTATGTTACATGGATTCTTTAAACGGACAAAGTACCTCACTACCTCTACTGAACATTCATTTCAGATTTCAATGTTTGCACAGATTCAGGGGACAATGCAATTTGAGTATATTTAATCCCTTCTTATTTGTATTTCATTTCCTTTAATCTTGATCACGGTATTTGTATGTGTTCTTTTTGTTGAACTGGGGAAATTATTCAAAGTTCTTGTCATTTCTTTTGAAGATCAGGTTTAAATTGTCATCAAGTCATTTATTTACTTGTTTTGTACTATAGTAGTTTATAACTAATGTGTAATTACATAATTCTTGTGTCTAATTTTATATGAACACTGTAAAATATGTAAATATTTTATTTGTTTATTTTTGTTACCTAAGTGACACCTGGTTGTCACCTGGGTTTTCACTTTATTTTGCCTGGCTAAAATGCCTAGGCATCACATGGCTGTCTTTGACTAAATTGAGATAAATAACATAAACTTCCTTTTTCTCTCATGGCTTGTCTGAAATTTATGCATCTCTAATTTTAGATGTAAACAGTTGCTTGTGTACTGAAGTAGAAAGGTATTTTATTAAATTTTTAGCTTTTGAGGACATGTATCTATCTTTTTTTTTTCTTATTGGAAACGGTAACTTCATTAAAGAGATATCAAAGTACAGCTGTCAACCCTGTTGAGCCCAAGATATAATTTAATTACAATACTGCCTGGAACATGTTCTCCTTCAGAGTCCCTTGTTTTGCTAAGGTATCAACTAATCCATTGGCTGATCTTCATGTCCACTAGAAACATGTGCTAATCTCCCACTCCTATTGATCCTGAAAACATAGCAATTATTTTGCCTTTTCCATCTTTGAAAACTCCCCCTATACCTGAACAGCCCGGGTTACTTATAGAGCTTCCATCAAAGTTCAACTTAATCCTTTTTTGTGTTGGCAGGGACCAAAGTTCTTGTACAACAGGTTTTAGGAAGTTGTAACTGCCACCTCATCCCAATTCTTGTAGATATCATATGTTAAAAAGTCTTTAAATAAATCAATTGATTTCAATCAATGAATAATCTTAATGGTTATTCCTTCTATAATTTCCTTCTTGGATCTTTTCACACCTTTAAAGATTCTATTATGTCTTTCTTCCTAGACTGAACAAAGAACAATTGCTTTTGTAGCTCTCCACATGATTCTTCCATGCCTCTTCGCAAGGTTCAAAGTATCGACACAATATTCCTTGTATTGGGCATATCATATCATATCTTTGGGCCCCAATACACCTGTGTACAGGTGTTTTACAAACATTCTTTTTTTATTAAATAATATATATAATTATATTTAAAGCTAAAATTTGAAAAAGAAAAAAAAACTAAAAAAAGGCGTATCAGTTAAAATGCCGATACACCTCTGCCAATACATAGAAGTGTATCGATACTTTGAACCATGCCTCTTTAGTTGCCTCGAAAAAATTGGGTCAAAGAGGCTCACCACATCTAGGAAAGGGGTATGAGAACCAAGACCAAATAAAGAACACAAAAGGACAAGAGATTAACAGGTGTGTGATTGTCTCAATATAACTCAAGCAGAGACTACAAACATGGGGTATGATAACCAAGACCAAATAAAGAACACAAAAGGATGAGATTAA